GAAGTTTTTTCCTTCTTCTCTCTTGATCTTGTAGTTGCCGGAAGTTGCAAGAGCTTGTGGTTGCTTGCAATCTTCAGTGTTGGTGTTTGAGAACTTGTAGTGTGATTCTCTCAAAAAGAAGAAAAATGGTCATTTTCTTCCTAAGCAAGGCCATTTATAGCCAAGGGTTAAGGCTGTCACATCAGCCAACTTAGCTAACCAATCCCATTTGAGTGTGGTGTTGGGTTACAATAGAAGATGGGCCAAATTGGACTTAATACACTTGGATCCTTAGGCCATCAAGACATATTTATGTAGACTTAGGCCTTGGGCCCATGGAGGCCCATATTATTTAGAGGTTGTCATGTAAATTAAGCCCATTTATTTGATTTAAAAAATTCACATGTCTACAAATACCCCCTCGAGGATGAGGTGACAAAGCTCCATACGGTGTTGATATCCTCAATAATGTTGATTTCCTTGTTGGATGATTGTTCAACATGACCATTTAGGAAGACTTTCACATAGTTAACAAGCCTCGAGCATGCAAGAACTGAAGTTTTAGAATTGTGGTACATGAGGGTTCTTCTACTATGGAGCTCCGTATTTGCAGACATCATTCTTTTGGTAATTTCTTGGAACGCCTGTATTTTCTTGCAGGCTTTCTAATCTGACCATGATGGATGGTTTGACAAATCATACTGTTACAATTGGTGAGGTCAAGCAGCATTTCATCCCTTTCTGCTTGGGTAAGGATTATTAGCCGATAAGCTTGCTTTGTAGAGTCCATGTTGGAGTCTACGTCCTTGAAGGAGGAGACTTAGAAAAAGCCTATACTCCTTATTGCATACGACTACCATAAATTTATAAATTCATATTAAGATCACGACTCCCCACTTTCGCTTGCCACAATTTTGATCGCCGCTGGGTTTTGGAGTGGAGACGATTGCTAGGGCTGTCGAATCTGCATTGAAGTCTTGTCATTGGAAGCCGTCCTTGGAAGTCATAAACTCGACAGCGGTGTAAGGGGTATTCAGTTTGCTGTTGCAAGTTTAAGACTGGTCGGAGACAGAGCATTATTCGGGTCATTTTTTTTTCTCAAAATTTCTTCATTGCTTTCCCCTTTCGTTCGCATGTCTTCCACAGATTGAATGTGGTTGCTCCTTTAATGCATGTGATTGAATTGGTGCCTGTATTCATGTAGCATACTCTCCTATACTTTGGCTTGATGTTGTCATGCAAGCACACCAATAGCATCTTATGGGTATTAACCCATAGGATCCAACTCTTTTAATAGCCTTACATGCCGCTCTTATCCTGTGTGTGAAGTTCTATCCCCAAATTATTTTGGCGGATTGCCTTTGTAATGGGAACCATGGTGACATGGGGGGTCCACAACTTTGGTGCTTGTAGTGGGAATAATGGTGACATAGGGGCCCACAATTTTGATATTTGGTGGTTGTAGATCACCCAACGGCTTATTACACTTTCACGGGGCTGTCTTTAATTTGTCAAACTGAAAATGTAATCAGCTATCAAAATATTTGGTCTTCCCCATTAAACGCATTTTTTTTTAATCAATCAATGGTTTGGTCGGTACAGTGAGTCCCCCATGATGGATTGTACACCTTCTCATCGTATGCTTCCCTGGAATCCATTTCATGTGAATCTGCGCAAGGAGCCTTTCGTGTAGTAGAACATGAAGCCAATGCTATCAACCTATGTCATTGTGCTCACTTGACCCATGGGTCAGCTTTTTCCTTTTGATGCTTGAACATTTCAGACTTATACCAGATCTTCATTAACCTCGAAGGTGTTCGAATTTCTCACCTATGCATGTAGGAATTTACAGTCAGTAGTTTGATAATGTTCTTTGCATAATTACTTTTTCTTGACTGAGTGACCAGGAGTGATACAAGGACTAAACCTTATATATTTATGTTGACTGAACCGACCGATTACACTTTGTTTGTTTTGGCATTTATTCCCTCATTCAAATCTATAAACTTCCTTTGCAAGAAACCTGTTAAACTGTATAGTCGCATTCCATGCATTACTGGATTTGACAATCTTCGAGTTGGGCGAACCTTCCTTATAGTCCTGATTTCAAACTGAATGAAATGATAACTCCCTTTCTTTCCTTTTATTGACCTAACTCGGCTTTTATACATGTCGACACTTTTAAGCATTGATGTTTATATTAGACCAACACATCACTTTGTTTCCTTTCGATGAGGTGAAGTCTTATGACTGCAATCTTGTTCATGCAGGACTACAAGTTTGATACTTCAATTGTATGTCATATGTTGTCAAGGTGTGATGAATTGCATTTCATTTCTATAAGACTTGATGGGTTAGAACTTCACCAATTGGCACATCATCAGCAGCAGGCCCTCACAGACCTTCAATGGTCCGGGGTCCCTAGGTCCAGAGATTCATAGACTTTCAAGTCCGAAGTCTCTTGGATTTAGGGATTAGCTTGCATAGAGCTTCTTTATCAGAGAGTCATATCATACGGAGCTTCATCAACAGTAGGCCCTCGCAAACCTTCAATAGTTCGGGGTCCCTAGGTCTAGAGCTTTGTAGACTTTTAGGTCTGAGGTCTTTTGGATTTAGAGATTAGCTTGCATAGAGCTTCTTCACCAGAGAGTCACACCATGCGGAGCTTCATCAATAGTAGGCCTTCGCAGACCTTTAATGGTCTAAGGTCCCTAGGTCCAGAACTTTGAAGACTTTCGGGTTCGAAATCTCTTGGATTTAGGGATTAGCTTGCATAGAACTCCTTCACCAGAGTGTTACAACATGCAGAGCTTCATCAACAGTAGGCCCTTGTAGACCTTCAATGGTCCGGGGTCCCTAGGTCCAGAGCTTCATAGACTTTTGGATCTGAAGTCTCTTGGATTTAGAGATTAGCTTGCATAGAGCTTCTTCACTAGAGAGTTACAACATGCAGAGTTACATCAGTAGCAGGCCCTCGCAGACCTTCAATGGTTCGGGGTCCCTAGGTCCAGAGCTTCATAGACTTTCAGGTCTGAATTCTCTTGGATTTAGAGATTAGCTTGCACAGAGCTTCTTCACTAGAGAGTTATGGCATGCAGAGCTACATCAGTAGCAGGCCCTCGTAGACCTTCAATGGTCCAGGGTTCCTAGGTCCAAAGCTTCATAGATTTTCGGGTCCGAAGTCTCTTGGATTTAGAGATTAGCTTGCATAGAGCTTCTTCCCAGAGGACTTGATGCACAAAGCTTTCTTCTCTTTGATTTTGTTGTCATCTTCTATACCTCCTCCATCAAAGAAGAAATTGCCTCAAGGTGGAAGGTTAACAAACCCAGAAGACCTAACTTTGAAGAGATCTCCCTACTTTCCTTGTAGAATGCTCAACACACTAGTGCTTGTATTTGAAAACTTTTGACAAGTCCCCGTTGTTAACACAGAGCTGAATAGAAGGAGCTCTTTGAACCTCTCCAACCAAAGGGAGTTGTCATGGATCATGCAATGCTAGAGTCTTCTATTTCTTTTAAAAGTTTGCTGGTCTTCTGGAAGATCAAATAAAATGATCATTCATTTAAAATTTAAGGGATAAGATTGCTCGACTTCTTCAGGGGAGCTTGTTGCAAAGATTTCTACACACATGAGTGGATGTCTATGACCAAACTGCCCATGGTGACAAGATTCTTGAAGAGGTCTATCATCCCGACATGTTGCCATTTGTCCAAGAGGTTGGTTCCTCGTCATCATGTGGAGAACAGTACCTTGCTTATAGAGGTAGAGTTAAACATGCTCCAGCTAAGAAACAAAAGGAGGCGGAAATTGGCAAATCTAGCTATTGAAGTGATGCATATGAATTGAAAAAGTCCTTTTTCCAGCAACCAAAGTATTCAAACCATAGTTGACATGACTTCCACTAACAACAAGAAACCCCACATTGATGTAATGTCTTGTACCTTTGAGGAGGAACAACAAAGAATAAAGGAGCAATAATAAAAGTAGGTGGTGCATCACTTTTCCTTAACCTCCAAAGACAATACTCTAGCAAGAAGCAGTAGAAAGATAGTGAAGCACTTGTAGTGGAAAAGCTCAGCATGGCGAGTTGACACGATTAAAGGCAACCAACAAGCAAGAGATGCAAGTCAATGTTAAGTGACAACACAACTTGTAGAAGCATCCATTGCTCTTTGTAAAAGTATATTTAATTATGTAAAACTCCAAGAATTGGTCATTCTCTTGTAAATGAAACAACTTCTACATTGTAGTCAAATGATGTTGGAAATGGACTTGATATTTCCTTCTTTTTCTTCTAAAAAAGAAGTTCTCATATTTTACATTTGTTTTGCCGGTCATAGTTTGCTCATGCGGGCTAGGAGCATTACAATGCAAAAGACTTTTTTTTTTTGTCGTTCACAGTTTAGGCTCATGCGGGCTAGGAGCATTACAATGCGAAAGACTTTTTTTTTGTCGTTTACAGTTTAGGCTCATGCGGGCCAAGAGTGTTACAATGCAAGAGACTTGTTTTTTTTTTGTTTTGTTTTCTCATTCACAGTTTAGGCGCTTGCGGGCCAAGTGCATTACAATGCAAAAGACCTTTTCTTTTGTTTTTGTCGCTCACAGTTTAGGCTCATGCAGGCCAGGAGCGTTACAATGCAAAAGACCTTGTTTTTGTTTTTGTCGTTCACAATTTAGGCTCATGCGGGCCAGAAATGTTACAATGCAAAAGACTAAGGGTAGTACATCTTAAGGTATTTTCCATTAATAAGCCCAAGACGTAGACCCTCTGGCATGACAAGGAGATAAGCACCATTATTGTAGACTTCTTTCACCATGTGAGGTCCATCCCATTTAGGGTCAAATTTCCTTCCTCAACGGTGTGAGAGAATGATAGGTCGTCGAACAACAAGGACAAGATCTCCTTTCTGAAAGGAGTGAAGACAAACCTTCTTATTGAATGCACGAGCCAAACGAGCTTGGTAGCACTTTATCCTTTGTTGAGCTTTTAACATCTTCTCGTCTAGCACTTCGAGCTCAACTAATCGTAGTTTTGCATTTTCATCTTCTGTAATTCCCTCTTGGATAGCATCCTTAGGGAGTTCATTTGTCTCTCTAGGGGAAGTACAACTTCTACACTATATACTAAAGCAAAAGGAGTTGCATTTGTAGCGGTGCGGTAAGATGTCCGATAAGCCCATAAGGCCTCATCCAAACATTCATGCCAATCTTTCTTGGACTTGGACATAATCTTCTCAAGTAATTTACAGAGAGTTTTGTTGAAGGCCTCTACAAGTCCATTGGCCACTACATTATACATGGTTGAAAACCTCTTCTTAATGCCAAACTTGTCACAAAACTGTGTCACTAATGCTGCTGAGAATGGCTTCCCATTATCTATGATTATGTAACGTGGAACACTGTAACGATAGACAATGTGAGTCCAGAGAAAGTTGACAACATCTTCTTTCTTTACTTCTCGAAGAGGAACCACTTCATCCCATTTGGAAAAGTAATCCGTTGCTGCTAGGATGAAGAGGTGCTAGTGAGAAGACTTAGGCAAGGGACCAACCACATCAAGTCCCCATGCATCAAATGGCCATGATGCAACTGTAGGATGTAGAGGTTCTAGTGGTTGGTGAATTAAATCCCCATGAATTTGACATGCTTGACATTTTTTGGCATATTCACTTGTCTTATACCATTGTTGGCCAATAGAAGCCCATTCGCTTAAGGCGATTATGGAGCTTAAGTCTTGATTGATAAGCACCACAAACTCCTGAGTGTGCTTGGTCAACTGCACTCTGGACTTCCTCTCCGTGGATACACCTCATGTAGACATCATTGAAGGAGCGTTTGTAGAGGTTTTCATTGTAGTATAGGAAACGAGGTGCTCGATGTCGTATCTCAACTCTATGCTTAGAATCTTCGGGCAACTTCCCATGCTGCAAATAGTCGATGAAGGGTTGTCTCCAGTCCTCAACATCTATAGTGAATACAGAAGCCACATTGCTTTATTGCTCTATCTCTTCTTGAGGTGACTTAGGGGGGAGACCCCATTTTGCACAAACGGGTATTGTTGTTGTTTCATCACCTGTGAGTGCTAAGACTACTGCTAGATTGGCAAGGGCATATGCTTGCTTGTTTTCGCTTCTGGGTACATGTTCAATGGTAGCATGTTCGAACTCCTTTAGTAATTGGATTGCATAAAGGTGATAGGGAACTAGGTTGTCCTTACGCACCTCATACTTTGTCTTCAATTGGTTGATTACCAATTTCGAATCCCCATAGACTGTGAGGTAGTGAATTTCCAAGTCAAGAGTCATTTCTAAGCCAATGATTAAAGCTTGGTTCTCCACCATGTTGTTAGAGCAAAGCTCAGTTAACGCAAATGCATATGTAAGGATTTCTCTGAGGCGAGACAAATACAACACCGACACCCGTACTATCTTTGCGTGTTGCTCCATCGAAAAACATCAACCATGCTGGTAAGATGTCTATACAGAAAACCTCTTCATCAAAAAAGTCTTCGGAGAGTTCCCAATCTGCTAGAATAGGATGATCTGCAAAGAAGTCTGCCAGTGCCTGTCCTTTCATAGCCTTATGTGGGATATAGGTGATGTCAAATTCTAACAAGAGGAGAGCCCATTTAACTAATCTCCTTGAAAGTACAGGTCGTGTCATGATGTACTTGAGGGGGTCTGCTCTTGAGATAAGGTGGACAGTATGTGCCAACATGTAATGCCGTAACTTCTTCGTGGCAAAGATGAGATCAAGACAAGTCTTCTCTATTGGTGAATAGTTCAACTCGGCTCCTATTAGTGTTCGACTGAGGTAGTAGAGTGCATTTTCTTTCCTTTCCTCATTGACTTGTGCCAACAAGGCTCCCACTGATTGCTCTTATGCAGCGATGTATAAGATGAGTGGCTTCTCAGGGATTGGTGCGACAAGTACTGGGGGTTTGAAAAGGTATTGCTTTATGCTCTCTAAGGCATTTTTGCATGCATCATCCCACTCAAATGGGACATCATTTTTCATCATCTTGTTGAATGGTTGACAACGTCCAGTTAGGTTGGAGATGAACCATCGAATGTAAGTCAGTCATCCTTGGAGACTCTTCAACTCTTGTAGGTTCCACGGCTCTGGCATGTTTTGGATGGCATCAATCTTTGACTAATCAATTTCAATCCCTCGATGGCGAACAATGAACCCGAAGAACTTGCCTGAGGTGACACCAAATGCACACTTGAGAGGGTTCATCTTTAGTTGATATCTCCTTAGCCTATTGAAGATGCTACGCAAATCATCGAGATAGTCTTCTCTCTTCTTAAACTTGACAACCAAGTCATCGACGTAGCACTCGACCTTCTTGTGAAGAATGCCACCGAAGATCCGCTGCATCGCGCACTGGTACGTAGCACCGGCATTCTTAAGCCCAAAATGCATCACTTTGTAACAGTAGATCCCTTTGGTGTTCGGAAAGTCATGAGTTCTTCATCCTTAGATGCCATGCAAATTTGATTGTATCCAGATGAACCGTCCATGAAGGATAATGCCTCGTGGCCAGTACTTGTATCTACCATGAGTTCAGTGATAGGCAAAGGAAAGTCATCTTTTGGGCGAGTTTGATTTAGGTCTCAGAAGTCAACACAGACCCAAATTTGACCATTCTTCTTTCTCATAGGGACAATGTTTGCAATCCAATTTGAATACTTCACCTCCCGAATGAAACCAGCTTCAATGAGCTTGTTGATTTTTGCTTCAATTTGCGGAATCAACTCGGGCCAAAATCGACGTTGTGCTTGCTTGATTGGTCGTACCCCGTGCCTAATAGAGAGGTGGTGAACAACAACCTTTGGGTCTAACCCTGGAATTTCCTTGTATGTCCAAGCAAAGACATCCTTGTGCTCCTAAAGTAGTTTGAAGTATTTGGCTTCTTCAAGGCTAAGGGGTGCACTGATGTAGATAGGTCTAGGTTCCTCTTCAGTGCCAAGGTTCAACTCCTTCAGGCCATCCACTGTTGCTTGGCCTCCTTCTTCAAAGGTAGGTGGAGCAGGCTCAAGTTCTTCATCTGAAGAAGTGCTTGACAGATCTTCGTCCTCCTCCTCAATGGTGATGTGATTAACTGAGACAATGTCTTCATCCTCAATTAGCCCTTCACTTTGTTCTTCCATGTCTTGTCCTGGTTGTCTAACTGTCAATAGTCTGTTGTCTAATTGTCAATGTCTCATTAGAGGAAACTTCCAAGTTCACCACCCTCTTCATACGATAAGGAATAACACTCCGAGGCTCTGACTTCTTTGTAGCAATGGCGCACTGTAGCCTTTGACTTTGTTGTTGGCCCTCTTTCTTTATATTGGCACCCTTGGGCCCTATGCGGGAGAGTACTGAAGTCCTTTGTGGTTGAGAAGATGACGTTGGAGCAGCATCTTGTCCTCTAAGCCTGTAAAGCTGATTGTCTTTCTCTCGGTTCTCCTAGCCAGTCGAAGATTGAACTCCGTTGTGTATGCTTCTTTTCCTTCTTATCCACCACTTCTATAGTGATGTGGTTGGATAATGCCTTCCTCCATGAAATTTGAGTTGGTGGATTTTGATGGTATCCTAAGCCAACATTTTGCTGAGGAATGTGGGAGCCTCCACTTTGTAAAGCTCTTTGCATCTTTGTTAGGCCATAGGCTTGTCCACTTGTAAGGATTGACTCAAAGTCCCCTAACTGACGATTTTCACCTTCTTTCTAACCTACCTTTTCAAGGAGCTTCTCAGCGTTGGTGTCAAACCACCCTTCTTGATGTTGCCCTACTTTACTGGTTGATGAAGCTCGAACAAATCCTTTTAAAGGTGGTTTAGAGACCGATGACTTCAATGCTGTAGAGATTGGAAGCATAAGATCCTTCACGAGAACTTCAATATTGCTCTTTGATATTGGTGTAATGCTTGGTGTAGCCATTACCTCAAAAGGCAGTTGCCCTCCCTTCTCCTCGACTTTGGTGTGTAACGAAGCATGAGGATTGATTGGTTAAAAGAAGGGAAAGTCGATGGTGGAGTTGTTCGCAAGGTAGCAAGTGCATGTTGATTTTGTAGATGCTCCTTGTCACCACTTGAAGATGCAGTTTCTTCTTCATGTGTCATGTTTTCCTTTTCCTTCCAAACCTTCATTGCGTAAGATTTTGGCATAGAGACCGGAAAATCTTCTGAGATGGCCTTATCAGCATAGAACTTTGTGTCAGCAAAATGTGCTTCAGTTTTGTTGAAAGGCTCTGGCTCAGCGACTACTTTCCTCTGTGTTCCATTATGGTAGTATTTGAAGCATTGGTGCCACGTCAAAGGAACCACTCCTGTCTCATGCAATCTCGAGATGCACCATGCCCACGACACATTGTCCCTTTTGATTAAAACCTTGGATTGTCAACTTGCTCTTTAGCAATTCATCCTTGTCAATCCCAGGTTGTTTCATAGTGGAGACTGGAATGATGTTGATAGCAAATCCACAATCAATGAGGATGCATGACATCTTCTGTTCACGAACATATCCAGCAACATACAAGGGTCTGTTATGTAGACGTGACCCAAGTTGTAAATCCTCATCTGTAAAGGTATTTGTCGCCATCCAATCCGTGCAGTTGTCCCCTTTTGCTACTTTGCTTTGGTACTTGTTGGGGAGGATCAGGGTCTTTGCCATTGCAAAGCGAGCCTTCTGCGGTAGTTGTAGCAGTTGGGTAAGGCTTAAGTGGGATGGCAGTTCCTTCGGTTGCTTTATTACTTCTTCGTTACACATGGGGTGCTCTTGAAGAAGCCTTGTCATGTCTTTCTCCTCGTCGGATGAATCTTCTTCAATTGATGGTGATGTTTCCTCTTCGTCAACTGTCACTATGTATATCGCTACACATTCCTCTGAAAAAAGTTATCTTGGCATGAACTCCCAAAGGGTTACTGGAGTTGGATGAGGCTATTTTAACACTTCCTCCTCACTAGCTGGTGGTACCTGAAATGCTTTCTTCTTCAACACTTTCTTCTTCTTAGAGGCATTGTGTATTCGCCATCATTTAGTCCTCTTTGGTCTAGTTGACGTAGGGACGATGGGACGAGGGGTCTTATTCTTATGTCGGGAGACAATGGTCCATCCGATCTCATCTTGAGGAGATGTTTCTAATTCACTTAGTAGATGGAGATAGTCTTGCCCCTATTCAAAATGATTCCTTCGGGTTTGTATCATACCTTCTACTTGGGTTTTTTGCTGGTGAAGGTGGACCACCCATCTTCTATCTCATCTTCCGAAACAGATGACTCTTCCCAATAGTCCAAGTCATCAGTCATCAGCTCATAGAGAGTTGGGATGTCGGGATTCCCGAACCTCGGCATGTTAGGATAAGCATAGAAAGTGGTCACCTCTTGATTAACAATAAAATGGATAAGAATTGCCCCCACTAGGAGGGATGTTGTAGGAAACACCATTATTGGGGGTCTAGCTACCTTGCCCCCAGTCTCCATATTTGAGGAGAATCTACTGAGTTGTGCTGTGGTGTTGACTTCCCTTTGGTGGGTGTAGAATTCCTTGAGGTCTGGACACTCGCTAAAGCTTGAGTAGAGGAGGAAGAACCTATAGAGGGTTGTAGTGGTACTGGGTTAAAAGACCCAAAAGTCACTATAGTGACGTTAGTAGCAGCAAAATTATCACCAAGATCTAACTCGACCTTTCCTTGTTCTGTAAGATGAAGTATTTTGTCCTTCAGGACAAAACACTTTTCAGTTGGATGACTTATCATCCGATGGTACTAGCAGTACTTGGGGTCAATCACACGTCCTTGCTCTTCAAGTCGCTTGGGTGGTGGAAGCTCAATCAACTTTGATTGGAGTAGCTGGCTAAGCATTTCTGGAATGTCGGAGTTAGGGAATGGATACTCCTTCTCTTCTAATTCCTTCAAAGTAGGCATAGACTTCTCTTGGCCTTGGTTTGCAAAAGATTTCACTTTGATCTCCGTCTTCTTCTTCTTGTCGGAGATCTTAACTGGTGCAGTGGTAGTGTTCATGACTTCCTTTCCTTTGGAGGAGGAGGTCTTAAGGTCCTTCTTGACATATTTCTTTCCTTCATTCTTTTCACGAGGATCACTTAGTTGAGTACTTCCATGCTTGGCTATCTGGATCTCCAAGTCATGAGCTCGAGTAGCTAACTCTTCAAAGGTTGTAGGCATGTTCCCTTTAAGGCTGTAGAGTAGTCCCCAATGCATCCCTTGGACGCATGTGTCTATTGCAGAGGATTGGCTTATTTGTTCCTTGCACTGAAAGGCGAGGTTCCTCCACTGCTCAATGTAGTTGTTAATGGACTCATCCTTTCTTTGCCTTGTAGTGGAGAGAGTTCTGGAAG